AGAATGTATCAGATTTGGAAGATGAACCATACGGACTGTGACACCAGTGAACAAAGGTTAATGGACCAACGACGTGTAATCCTAAACCACAAATTTTTCACTACAGAAGAATTAATAGCAATAGAAGAGAAAGCAATTAATGGTCTGAGTACAACAACAAAGAGGAGTAACATCAAGAATGATTTCCAGACTCAAAAGCAAATTGAGGAAGAAAGGGAAGAAGAGGATACTGAAATGGATGAAGATAAAGAACAAGGAAGCACTAAAGAACAAACACCAACAGATAGTGCTCAATTAGCTGGAAAAATAAAGCACCAAATGGAAGATGATGAAAGAACACGTTTGCCAAAGCTGAACCAAGTGAACCGGAAAGAATTGAGAAATGTACTAAAAAAGGTCAATGAGGCTGTGCAAACTATTCGAACCACTACATTAGCCGAAACTAACCAACTGATGTATGCAGCAGCTGTCATAACCACCAAAGAACTGGGGTTGAAAATACAAAAGAACCAAAGAGGCACGAAGGGGAAGCCTAAGTGGAAAATTCGGTTAGAATTGAAGATCAAAAAAGTACGTGGAGATTTGAGCAACTTGAAGAACCTAAGGCAAGGTCAGCTAAAGAACAAGCAGGTCAAAAGCAGCCTGGAAGCAAGATACGATCTAAGGAATAAGGAGATTGCAATAGTAATTGAAGAGCTGAAGCAGAGGGTTGTTGCCATCGCTGAAATGATTAAAAGGTATGAAAACCGAGTAACTCAGTTCAAGGAAAACTCACAGTTCAGAGCAAATCAGCACCAGTTTTATAAGAATTTAGAAAATGGAAATGGAGTAACAACAAATGAAAAGCCTGATAAAGAGAAAGCTCTGAAATTCTGGAAGAATTTGTGGGAAAACAACAAGAAGCACAACAGAAATGCAAAATGGATCAAACAGGTTGAGGACTCTATTAAAATGCATAAAATGGAAGACGTGAAAATAACAAAAACAATGGTGCAAAGACAGTCAAGAAAAGTGAAGAACTGGAGTGCACCTGGACCGGATGAGCTGCATGGCTTCTGGTTAAAGGCACTTACAAGTCTGCACAAAAGATTGGCAACCCAGATGAACCAGATCCTAAAAACACCTTAAAATGATGGATGGATGACAACTGGAAGGACATTTTTGATCCAAAAAGATAAAGAAAAAGGAAAGGACCCTGGAAACTATAGGCCAATCACCTGCTTGCCAACAACATACAAGCTTCTTACTGGTATCATTGCAAACCAAATCTATGGATACCTGGAAAGAAATAACTTGCTTCCTGTAGAACAGAAAGGATACTGCAAAAACTCAAGAGGAACAAAAGATCAATTGCTGATCGACAAGCTAATCCTAAAGAACTCAAAGAAAAGACGAACCAACCTGTTCATGGCTTGGATAGACTACAAGAAAGCATTTGATTCAGTTCCCCATAGCTGGATCAAGAAATGCCTGGAAATATTAGGCATCAGCAGCAACATACAAAAATTCATGGAATCTTCAATGAACCTCTGGAAAACAAAACTTATGGCTAATGAAGAAGAACTGGGTGAAGTTGAAATTAAACGAGGCATTTTCCAGGGCGATTCCCTTTCACCCCTACTTTTTATACTCTCAATGCTACCACTGACAATCATTTTGAAGAAGATGAACTGTGGATATGAACTTGCAAAGAAAGGACTGAAAATCTCGCACTTGATGTACATGGATGATTTGAAGCTGTTTGGTAAAACAAAAGCTGAACTGAATTTATTAATTGAAAACACAAAAGAATTCAGCCAAGACATTGGTATGCAGTTTGGAATTGACAAATGTGCAACAATAGCAACCAAAGCAGGCAAGATCATAGAAGAGGATGGAATAGAACTAGAGAATGAAGAAATGATAAAGGCAGTAAAATCAGAAGAAGGCTACAAGTACTTGGGAATTTTAGAAGCCTCTGACTTAATGCATAATAAAGTCAAGGAATTAACTTCAGCCAAGTACATTCGACGAATTCGTAAGATATTAATGTCCAAATTGAGTGGAGGAAACATCATAAAAGCCATAAATACCTGGGCTATACCTGTGATTAGATACTCTGCAGGAATAATTGACTGGACCCAGATGGAGTTAGACAATTTGGACAGAAAAACAAGGAAGCTTATGACAATGAATCATGCCTTGCACCCTAAAAGTGATGTTGACCGATTATATTTACCAAGAGCAGAGGGTGGTCGAGGACTCCTACAAGTAAAGCAGACTGTGGAAGAAGAAAAATGCAGCTTGAATGATTACATCCAGAAAAGTGAAGAACCAATGATTAAGGAAGTAAATAAAGGAGGCCTTTTAAAGACAACTAAAACAAAAGCAGAATATAAGAAAGAAGTAACTGAGCAGCGAGCTGAAAATTGGAAACACAAAGCTCTGCATGGCCAATACTTGAAAAGTATTGAAGGCAAAGCTGACCAGAAACTAACTTGGAACTGGTTAAGATCAGGAGTACTGAAAAAAGAAACAGAAAGCTTTATTTTGGCAGCTCAAGAACAAGCCCTAGCCACAAACTGTATGAAGGCAAAAATTCAACATGTTACCACCAACAGCAAATGCCGCCTCTGCAATGAAAAAGAAGAGACAGTTGACCACCTGATCAGTGGGTGCAGCAAAATTTCACAAACTGACTACCTACAACGCCATGACTGTGTTGCTAAAATCATTCACTGGAAATTGTGCCAGAAGTTTGGATTTGAGTACAGCAAAAACCACTGGGAACATCAGGTTGAGAAAGTTTTAGAGAATGAGAAACTCAAGATCTTGTGGGATTTTAGGATTCAGACTGACAGGCACTTGGTCCACAACACACCTGACATAACAATAGTTGAAAAGAAAAAAGTATGGTTCATTGACATTGCAATACCTGGTGATGCACGAATTGAAGATAAGCAGCAAGAAAAAATCACAAAGTACCGGGACTTACAAATTGAAGTTGAGCGACTGTGGAAAAAGAAATCGTGTGTTGTCCCGATTATAATTGGAGCCCTCGGAGCAATACCCAAAGGGCTACCCCGCTATTTAGAAATTCTAAATTTGCCAGACTTGAACATTTTGACTCTACAAAAAACCACCTTACTCGGAACAGCTTACATCCTCCGACGATACCTTAACAGTTCCTAGGTCCTTGGTTAGGACTCGAGCTGCTGAGCTATTAACCAGCCTCAAAGGCTGTGAATCTCACTAAAGATTAACCAATAAATAATAATAATAATAATAATAATAATAATAATAATAATAATAATAACAACAACAACAACAACAACAACAACAACAACAACAATAATAAAAATACAGCTTTAATAAATAGTTTAACAGTGTTGTGGGAATTAGCACGTACCCCCCCCAACCAAGAAGAGTGAAATATTTTCGGGAATATTAAAAAGGCAGAATTTTATATTTCCCTAAATGAGAAATGGAGAAACATGTTTATTAGAGGCAAGAAGCAGCCCCCCAAGTCTTTCTTAATGGCCCACAGCAGATGCCAGTACTTTACAGCTTATTGAAAGAACAACCCAACTATTTAGATGCCTCTATTCATAAGCAAAGCAATTACTGCAGGCACAAATTTATTTGAGACAGAATATTTCAAAACTCCTTGCAGCAAAGTTTGACAGCTAACAAAGGCAGAGTGATAGGATTAGAAGCAGCTCCTCACCCAAGATCCAACACAGGACAAAAGTCATTAGGCACAATAGGAATTCCCCAACACCCTTTCAGAAGACAAGTCCCTTCATTGCACCATCTCAGAGCAGTCCAATCTTCACCTGGGAGCTCAGATAAACAATAAGCCAGAGGTTGACCAGATTAGCTCAGACAAGCACCTAAGATTTGCAGTTCCTCTTTTGCCTATAGAGCCAGCTATGACCCCAACATAACCCCTACATGACCCCATAGGAATCTGACAACAGCCAATAGAAAATTAAAGGACATGTTCTTGCACAGGAACAGGAAGCTCAAATACAAAGCTCAAAGAAGATATAAAACCCCACCTACTCCCAACTCCATTTTGTCAGCTGCCCAGAATCACAAGTGGTTCTGCTTCATCTATAAACCATCTTTCCAATCAGCCTCCGTGTTTCCAGTGTCTTTCTCCCCACTTGGAACTGAACCAGATGGATATTTCTTCCAACAAGTTGTTTAGCAGAATGATGGCATGTGGGGGTTGGGGTGGGGTGGAAAATGTCCTTGTGTCTAGTTTCTCTGGTCTGCAATGCCCTATAACATCCTTTTGAGGGTAGAAGATGAAACAATTTATGCCCATGATGTGAGGAGTCTGTAGATATTTTCACAGTCCTCTTTTTGACTCGTGCAGTATACAGGTGCTCAATGGAAGGCAGCCTGATAGCAATTGTTTTTGCTCACTTCTAATTCTCCGTTGAAGTCTGTGTCTGTCTTGTTTGGTCACAGAGTCAAACCAGACAGTTATAGAGGTGCAGATGACAGACTCCATACTTCCTCTGTAGAACGGGATCAGCAGCTCCTTGGGCAGTCTAAGCTTTCTGAGTTGGCGCAAAAAGAACATTCTTTGTTGTGCTTTTTCGATGACTTTTTTGATGTTAGGTGTCCATTTTAAGTCTTGCGATATGATGGAACCTAGAAACTTGAAGGTCTCTATTGTTGATACTGTGTTGTCTACTATTGTAAGAGGTTGTAGTATAGGAGGCTTAATAATAAACCTAAAGCATTCTTTAGGTTTATTATCATCTTATTCTTTTGGGGGATAGATATACATAGAAAGCTTTGAAAACAAACAAATCAACAAATGTTTGTTTTTGGGGGTCTTTACAACTTTTTATAAAACATTCCTTAGGGTTATTAAGACATTACTTTAAAAAAAAGTAACATTTATCAACGAATCCATGGGCTTATTTTCCCTGACTGTTTAAAACTTCAGTTCAGTTATACTCAAGGTTTTGATGGATGCAATAAAGAATTTTCCACAAAAGACAGACTTATATTGTACCTTTATTTATATTTGGAAATGAAATAACCAAAATACAAATACAGATTTAAAAAAATAATGAAATTAAAAAAAAGAGCAAGGAAAACAAGTGAAGGAAAAATATTCAAAGTATACTTATTTATTTATCCAATTTGTAGAGGGGCCCCTGTCAAACAAGGGACAATGGGTAGCAAACAATCATAAAATCAATTATACAATTAAAAACAGAATACGACAAGCAAAATACAATAAATAAACATATACATACATTCTATCTATGGGACATTTATATGCCACCCATTTAAGGAAACATAAGATAAAGAAGATAGAAATTCAGTCAAAAGGGCTACTTTCAGACTTTCAAGGTTCTGTTAATGTAGCCTTAAAATAAGGTCGAATTAGCACTTTTAGGCACGTTTCCTGTCTGTTTACCTGGGAGGCTTCACACACACACACACACACACACACAATTCCAACAACCTGCAGACATTGTGTCAGTCCTCCAAGGGAAACGAGACAGGAAATACGACTAAATGGGCTAATTCGACCTTATTGTAAGGCTACATTAACGGAATCTTGAGAGTCTGAAGGTAGCACCTTTGACTAAACTTCTGTCTTCTTTGCCTTGTGTTTGCCTTCAATGGTGGCATATAGCTGGAGACATATAAGTGTCCCATAGATACAAGAAAAAAGCCCTGTCATTAAAAACTCAAGTCCATCCATCTGTGTTTCGTTGTTCTTCTATCCTGGGGAGATGTTGATCCAGCCGGGTGATGGTCCAAGCAAGCAGGTCCGTTACAGGAACTGCGTGGAATTCTGTCCAAGCTGCTACCCAGCCTAAGAAGAGACAAATCACAGGGCAGAAAGCAGAATCAACCATAGGCTTGAGAGAACAAAACCCCACATTTGCAGAAACGGAACCATCTCTTAGTCCAACCCTGCATACTACCAACCTGCAGCAGCATATTAAAAACGATAATGGTCGGCGTCTGCTCCACAGCATCTTCAGCCCCAGTGCCATCTTCCAAACCCCAAGGGAACCTTCAGCAGGAGGGAGTTCTGATCTTCCAGTGATCTACAAACACAGATACCAACAATTATTATACAGTCAGAAGTTTTAACAGATCAAATTCAACTATTATACAAAATTTATGCAATTTATAGAAGGAAGAACCAAAGGGCCATTTCCTGAGATGGTAGCTTTTCTTCATAGGTGGCTCAACGGCGAAGGGTGGAGGTCACAACTCCTCTATTTCTAGGTCTCCTGCATGGAAATAAAAGGTGAGGAAAATGGAAAGAAAGAGATATTGAAATTTGATCTGTTTGCTACACAGCTGGAAAACATATACAGGTTTTCGATCTATGGGAGTTGTCCTCAATTTATGACAACAAGGGAGATCAAACTCTGCATGACCAGTCATTACAGTTTTAAATCAAGTTGCCACATGACCGGATTCTATTTCACAATCGTTTTTACAACAATTGTTAAGTGAATCACGTGGTGGTAAATCCAAATGCAGATTATCCAGTGGCTGGTTTCTTCCTTTTTTTTTTTTTTTTTTGGTCTTAAAACAATGAAAATATCTCAAACTGCAATCACGTAACCATTGGATGCTGCAAAGGATTGTAAATTTGAACTTCTTGCCAACTACTCGAAATGTGATGAAATTAGTGTACGGCTGATGTGACTGTCGTAACTAAGAGGACAGGTCATAAGTAACCCTCCCCCCTCCCCTTAGTGTTCTCAAGAAAGTTACCTTCATTGATGTTTTCGTAGGTGGTTCCAGCCTGCCAGATTTCCCTGGGAACATCAGGGAAAGCCTGCTGGACTTGATCGAGCTGTAAGAAAAAGAAATGCCTCACCGTGTTGCCAAGGTTTTTGGAGAGTAATTCTCCTTCCCTTGACCCATCACTCACATATTACTAGCAAGATATCCTTCCCAGAATTTCCTCAGGTGGAATGAGAGGAAAAAGACCCCCCTGCACTCTCTCTGGCACCAAGAGGGAGATTATTTGAGGGTGTGGTCCCAAGAGCTGTGGGGGACTCAAAGGCTACAATTTATGTTAATTTAATTTTGCTACGTACATCTATCCTGGGATGATGGTTTCCACAGGACAGGAGCTGGTTTATTGCCGGCAAAAAGAGTTTCCCACGTGGGTCCAAGTTCTGTGGAATTGACAAAGAAAAGAGATGTTTTCTCATTTCTGAGAATCAAGAATCTTGCTGCCGAAACACACTTGTGCAATCTGTGGTAGTGTTCCTTCGAACTACCATGGAACTTCTGGACCCTTACCTTCAGAATGAAAACAAACTGTTCTGTCGTGGGAGATTGTCGGAGTAGGTTCCTCATTGTTAGGCCAAAGGCCTCCTCCAGCAACTTCTTCTCCACCTGAAAGGAAACATAAGAGATGGTGCTCTTTCTTTTGAAGAACATTTTCCCATCCATGCAACACTAGGAAGGAAATCCCAGAAATGTTGGTTAAAGTGGTACCTCAGAAAGATCTTCCTCCTCTGCATCCAGGGTAGCCATCCAATAAAAACTGGAAATGTCCATCAGCATGGATTCTATTGGTTCATCTCTTTCTGGTGTTATCTTGCTGTGGGATTAAAAGAAGGAAGAGACATTAGTGCCCATATTAATGAGCAAGCCTCCGTTCCATTTTTCCCACAAGAATAGGATAAGCTGGCTCAACTGAATGCCCTCCCCCTCCTTAATGACTGAGTACCCCAAACAGACTTTTCTTACCCACTATAAAAGAAACAATAGACTGACCTGAGATCATACATTTCCAGCAATGCAGCTAATCCATTGACAAAGCTGTGCTCCTGCAACAGAGCCTGCCAGGAAACAAAAGAGGAGACAATCAGAAAAGTCAAGCTCAACTAAGTTGCTCCAGAACATCTTCTTTGTCCCAGCCTGTTTTAACCTGATATGTTGCTGCAACAGCTCACCTTTCAGTCCAAAGGGCCCTTTTGAGCTTTTGGTAAACTTTCTGAGAATTCACAGTAGCTTTCCTTCTCTCCCTTTCCCTCTCATATCTCCCCATCATCCTTAACTCACCCTCTCCCCATCACATTTTTATTTCTGGGCACTGGGACCCTCATTTGCACATTTTTCTTAAGGTGAAACAGTGCAGTGATCACACTGAGGACCTGGATTAGGCGATGCTCCTGTGCAACTGAAAGGAGTTCGGCTGTCAGTCAGGGCAACGGACTCTCCCAGAATCCCCAGTGCGCTTCCTTTTACAAGGAAAGCTTGAACCCTTCTGAGACTCTGTCCATCCTAAGGAATCTTTTGCCCCACACTGAGATTGGGCCAAAAAAGAGTGGGTTTGAAACCCGGAGGCAAAGCCCAGCGAAAGAAACCTCTACTTCCAAGGGGTACCTACTATTTGCGTCTCTCTCCTCCTCTCAGAGACCACTTGGCGCAAATATTGGCTTATTTCCTGGTCTCTTCTTATACAGGCCAGCTCTGATTGCGCTGCTTGGAAAAGGTCCTTCCTCTCGAAGAGGACCTTCTCTTTCCCTCGGCTGTCCTTTGGAGGGAAACCTGGGAAAGGAGACACAGAGGGTGGAATCAGAGCAAAATTTTAGATCTCCTCCAGATGAAGGAAAGACACTAAAATCAGCCCTTTGCAGCATCCTTCCCTCGGAGACCCAATTCAAAGGCTTTTGTGGTTGCTGGCTATGTCTCTTTTAGGGGAAAGACCTATTGCATTCTTTATATCCTCCCTCCCCAGTTCCCAGGATAGAGATAGGCTCCACTCAGCAAATGTGAAGTTTCCCAGAAGAGTCTCATGGAAGCAGAACAATTTATGGAAAGTTAATGTGGATTCAGAAGCTGCATGAGGAGCAGGAGCAATTTGGTTCTGCCCAGCCCCTAAGTGCAACCTCAAGTATAGGAAGAGGCAGAATTGGCTTCTCTAGATGCCTACAGAGAGGAGTCTACTCCAAAAGGAGCTCCTTCCCTTTCCGTCTCCATCCCCTTCAACCCAAAGTGTGTACTCACCGTGCTGCTCCACTTTATGGAGCTCAATGTCTATTGTGATTTTCGTTTTTCTTCGGCCAGACAGATTTGTTGCGTCTTCCAAGGTGGAGGTTGAAGGACTGGCTGGCCTGGCATTCCTTCTCATTCTCCCCCAACAGCATTGGAAGATTTCTCTGCAACATTTTCGAAATCTCAGGAACCTAAGAAAAGGAATGGAAGGGAGTAAAACCCCTTTTCCAGACTCCACTTGCTCTACCTGCTCTGTGTCTGGGACAGAGGGAGCATCTGGACAAAGAGAGAAGCTCCTTCTGTGTAAATCTCTGGGAAGGAGCTCAGTCCTGAGGGCCTCCCTTCCCTTCTCTACCTTCCCCCTCTCCATTTCCCCATCCCAGGGCAAAGGCTCATGGACAAACCTTCCACCTCCCAAACAAGAAAAGACATGGAGAAGCTCTTTAGAGCAGCCCTTCTGAAGACCTACTTACGTCTTCGAAAACATCTTGGCTCTGCTCAGTGACAACTGGCAGTTGGTGACCTTTGACCCTGTATGGATGTCTGGATGACCTCCTACAGCCAATAGAATTCCCAGAGGGCTGAAGGCCTCCTTTGGGATCTACCAAAGGATCTGCTCCATCTTTTCTGCATACACTGTTGGCAGCCAAAGATCTCTAGGAACCTACTAACAAATCTCTCAAGCTGCCTCTTTCTCACCTTTTGCTACAGAAGCCAAAGCTCTTTGTATGTAGCCTGCCTTTTTCTACAGGAGCTCCATTAAGCTCTCTGACTAAGCAAGGCTCACCAATGCAGCTTCTGGTCAACTTCCAGTCAAAATCAGTTGTGTTGCAAGCTTTGTGTGTGTGTGTGTGTGTGTGTTTGTGTGCATGTGTGTGTGTGTGTGTGTGTGTTTGTGTGTATGTTTGTGTGTGTGAACTCTGCTGGGTCTAGAGTCAGCTCCCTCTGTTCTATCTGCTTCGGTGCAGATACCTTTTTCTGCATGCCAATCTATTTTTTTTAAAGTTTTGTTGATTTGCTATTGTTTACATTTTGTTAGTGGTTAATAAACATTGTGTTGTCTGGATGATTTTATTTCCTTAGCCGTACAAATTACATTCTTATTCTCCACCCCATTTTTCCAACCACTGGTAGAATGAGTTCCCTCTTTGATAATATTCTGTATCTTCTTTTTGTTTAATCTTCAATGTAAGTCTGTCCATTTCTGCACAATCCAGTATCTTCCCAATTATTTTTTTGTCTCGTGGTATTTCTTCATTTTTCCAGTATTGTGCAAGTATAATCCTTGCTGCTATTAATAATGCAATATTAAATACAATTTTTATTTATCAAATTTTTCTGGTGTTATACCTAATAGAAAAAGTTCAGGTTTAAAATCTACATGTTTTCCTATCATCTTTTCTACCCACTTATATATTTTTGCCCTCTTTTTTTTTTTTCCTTTAACACAGGTCCACCACATGTGGTAATATGTGCCTGTCTTTTGGTTACATTTCCAATATTTGTTAGACATATTTTTAAACATTATAACTAACTTAGCAGGTGGTAGATACCATCTATAAAACATTTTATATAAGTTTTCCTTAGAAGAAGTTGCCATTGTTAATTGATTGTTTCTTTCTGATAAGTTTTGCCATTTCTCTTATTCTATATTATGTCTAAAGTTTTTTGCCCAGTGCATCATTTTGTCTTTTACTTGTTCATCCTCCATTTTCCGATTTAGTAAAAAAATTAGATATTTTCTTAATTAGTTTTTCATCAGAATTCAACAATATCTGATTGAAGGCTGTCTGTCCTTTATAAAGGCTGTACATTTTCATGTCTTTATCATATCTAGATTGTTTTTGCAATTGAAGCCACCATGATAATTTAATACCCTCAACTTCCAATTCTTGCTTAGATTTTAATTTCCCTTCAGTGTCAAAAATGTCTTTATATGTGACTATTTTTTCAAACTTCACCAGATTTGGATATGTAAATGCTTCCATTTTGCCCCGTTTTACAATCTTTTCTTTTTCTCTCCCCCCCCCCCAATCATATTGGGAATCACAGAGAATAATAGTTGTTAATTCTAATCTAGGCATTTGGTAATATTATTACATCTACCACATTGAAAAAGAAGTTATTTGTCTTAAAACTTTTGTTTTTACCTTTCCTACAAAATCAAGTTCCCAACATGGAAACACCAACTATCTTATTCTGTGTATTTTGTGTTATTCTGTGTATTCTTTTTTGGCTCTTATTCCCAATCATTTCTTTCGTCTCTTCCCCCCACCCTCGCCACTTACTCTCTCACCATTTTTAGACTATTTGTGAACCACATTCACAGAGGATGGATGAGGACCTGTATCTGGTCTAATTTTGGGGACTCTACCTTCAGTCTTAGCACCTTCCTTCAACACTTTCCTTGCCTTTAACTTCCTGCTCTACATGGTCTTTCTCTGTCTTTTATCTGAATAGAATAGAATAGGATAGGATAGGATAGAATAGAATAGAATAGAATAGAATAGAATAGAATAGAATAGAATAGAATAGAATAGAATAGAATAGAATAGAATAGAATAGAATTCTTTATTGGCTAAGTGTGATTGGATACACAAGGAATTTGTCTTCGGTACATAAGTTCTTAGTGTACATAAAAGCTATAAGTGATAAATCATCATCATAGACATCAGAAAAATGCATTTCTCATAAATTGTAAGATACAACACTTAGTGATAGTCATAGGATACAAAATAAGCAATCAACATAAATCATACTAGGAAACTAAATAAACCAATATAAATCGGAAAGATACAAACTACAAAGTCATAGTCGTAAGTAGAAAAGAAGATCGGTAATAAGAAAGATGAGAATAATAATAATAATAATAATAATAATAATAATAATAATAACCCCTCCGAGGAGCTCTACCTTGTTGTGGTGGAGGGGCTTGCGTGCTCTAGTGATCCTAAGGGCTATGCTGAACAGGTGCAACCATATCAGACAGACCTTAGGTGAAGGTCCAGACAAAATCTGCTCCACAACCCATTCAAATATGGTGAATACAGAAAAAATGAAATTTATGCCGGCTGAACCGTCGCCCGGATTAACAAGGGTTCCGTTGGATGCTATGGCTCCTGGGCATTCTACGCAAAATGAGTTACAGGGCTCAACTCCCTCTGCTAGGCAACCAGGGCATGGAGCTGACAAGCTACTGGAAGAAAAACCCAAAAAGCGAAAAATCTGGACCAGGGAAGAAAACACCTCTATTATGAAAGCTTACTATCAGTCTGAACCAGCAAAACATGGATTTCAAAAAAGAATGTATCAGATTTGGAAGATGAACCATACGGACTGTGACACCAGTGAACAAAGGTTAATGGACCAACGACGTGTAATCCTAAACCACAAATTTTTCACTACAGAAGAATTAATAGCAATAGAAGAGAAAGCAATTAATGGTCTGAGTACAACAACAAAGAGGAGTAACATCAAGAATGATTTCCAGACTCAAAAGCAAATTGAGGAAGAAAGGGAAGAAGAGGATACTGAAATGGATGAAGATAAAGAACAAGGAAGCACTAAAGAACAAACACCAACAGATAGTGCTCAATTAGCTGGAAAAATAAAGCACCAAATGGAAGATGATGAAAGAACACGTTTGCCAAAGCTGAACCAAGTGAACCGGAAAGAATTGAGAAATGTACTAAAAAAGGTCAATGAGGCTGTGCAAACTATTCGAACCACTACATTAGCCGAAACTAACCAACTGATGTATGCAGCAGCTGTCATAACCACCAAAGAACTGGGGTTGAAAATACAAAAGAACCAAAGAGGCACGAAGGGGAAGCCTAAGTGGAAAATTCGGTTAGAATTGAAGATCAAAAAAGTACGTGGAGATTTGAGCAACTTGAAGAACCTAAGGCAAGGTCAGCTAAAGAACAAGCAGGTCAAAAGCAGCCTGGAAGCAAGATACGATCTAAGGAATAAGGAGATTGCAATAGTAATTGAAGAGCTGAAGCAGAGGGTTGTTGCCATCGCTGAAATGATTAAAAGGTATGAAAACCGAGTAACTCAGTTCAAGGAAAACTCACAGTTCAGAGCAAATCAGCACCAGTTTTATAAGAATTTAGAAAATGGAAATGGAGTAACAACAAATGAAAAGCCTGATAAAGAGAAAGCTCTGAAATTCTGGAAGAATTTGTGGGAAAACAACAAGAAGCACAACAGAAATGCAAAATGGATCAAACAGGTTGAGGACTCTATTAAAATGCATAAAATGGAAGACATGAAAATAACAAAAACAATGGTGCAAAGACAGTCAAGAAAAGTGAAGAACTGGAGTGCACCTGGACCGGATGAGCTGCATGGCTTCTGGTTAAAGGCACTTACAAGTCTGCACAAAAGATTGGCAACCCAGATGAACCAGATCCTAAAAACACCTTAAAATGATGGATGGATGACAACTGGAAGGACATTTTTGATCCAAAAAGATAAAGAAAAAGGAAAGGACCCTGGAAACTATAGGCCAATCACCTGCTTGCCAACAACATACAAGCTTCTTACTGGTATCATTGCAAACCAAATCTATGGATACCTGGAAAGAAATAACTTGCTTCCTGTAGAACAGAAAGGATACTGCAAAAACTCAAGAGGAACAAAAGATCAATTGCTGATCGACAAGCTAATCCTAAAGAACTCAAAGAAAAGACGAACCAACCTGTTCATGGCTTGGATAGACTACAAGAAAGCATTTGATTCAGTTCCCCATAGCTGGATCAAGAAATGCCTGGAAATATTAGGCATCAGCAGCAACATACAAAAATTCATGGAATCTTCAATGAACCTCTGGAAAACAAAACTTATGGCTAATGAAGAAGAACTGGGTGAAGTTGAAATTAAACGAGGCATTTTCCAGGGCGATTCCCTTTCACCCCTACTTTTTATACTCTCAATGCTACCACTGACAATCATTTTGAAGAAGATGAACTGTGGATATGAACTTGCAAAGAAAGGACTGAAAATCTCGCACTTGATGTACATGGATGATTTGAAGCTGTTTGGTAAAACAAAAGCTGAACTGAATTTATTAATTGAAAACACAAAAGAATTCAGCCAAGACATTGGTATGCAGTTTGGAATTGACAAATGTGCAACAATAGCAACCAAAGCAGGCAAGATCATAGAAGAGGATGGAATAGAACTAGAGAATGAAGAAATGATAAAGGCAGTAAAATCAGAAGAAGGCTACAAGTACTTGGGAATTTTAGAAGCCTCTGACTTAATGCATAATAAAGTCAAGGAATTAACTTCAGCCAAGTACATTCGACGAATTCGTAAGATATTAATGTCCAAATTGAGTGGAGGAAACATCATAAAAGCCATAAATACCTGGGCTATACCTGTGATTAGATACTCTGCAGGAATAATTGACTGGACCCAGATGGAGTTAGACAATTTGGACAGAAAAACAAGGAAGCTTATGACAATGAATCATGCCTTGCACCCTAAAAGTGATGTTGACCGATTATATTTACCAAGAGCAGAGGGTGGTCGAGGACTCCTACAAGTAAAGCAGACTGTGGAAGAAGAAAAATGCAGCTTGAATGATTACATCCAGAAAAGTGAAGAACCAATGATTAAGGAAGTAAATAAAGGAGGCCTTTTAAAGACAACTAAAACAAAAGCAGAATATAAGAAAGAAGTAACTGAGCAGCGAGCTGAAAATTGGAAACACAAAGCTCTGCATGGCCAATACTTGAAAAGTATTGAAGGCAAAGCTGACCAGAAACTAACTTGGAACTGGTTAAGATCAGGAGTACTGAAAAAAGAAACAGAAAGCTTTATTTTGGCAGCTCAAGAACAAGCCCTAGCCACAAACTGTATGAAGGCAAAAATTCAACATGTTACCACCAACAGCAAATGCCGCCTCTGCAATGAAAAAGAAGAGACAGTTGACCACCTGATCAGTGGGTGCAGCAAAATTTCACAAACTGACTACCTACAACGCCATGACTGTGTTGCTAAAATCATTCACTGGAAATTGTGCCAGAAGTTTGGATTTGAGTACAGCAAAAACCACTGGGAACATCAGGTTGAGAAAGTTTTAGAGAATGAGAAACTCAAGATCTTGTGGGATTTTAGGATTCAGACTGACAGGCACTTGGTCCACAACACACCTGACATAACAATAGTTGAAAAGAAAAAAGTATGGTTCATTGACATTGCAATACCTGGTGATGCACGAATTGAAGATAAGCAGCAAGAAAAAATCACAAAGTACCGGGACTTACAAATTGAAGTTGAGCGACTGTGGAAAAAGAAATCGTGTGTTGTCCCGATTATAATTGGAGCCCTCGGAGCAATACCCAAAGGGCTACCCCGCTATTTAGAAATTCTAAATTTGCCAGACTTGAACATTTTGACTCTACAAAAAACCACCTTACTCGGAACAGCTTACATCCTCCGACGATACCTTAACAGTTCCTAGGTCCTTGGTTAGGACTCGAGCTGCTGAGCTATTAACCAGCCTCAAAGGCTGTGAATCTCACTAAAGATTAACCAATAAATAATAATAATAATAATAATAATAATAATAATAATAATAACAACAACAACAACAACAACAACAACAACAACAACAATAATAAAAATACAGCTTTAATAAATAGTTTAACAGTGTTGTGGGAATTAGCACCTACCCCCCCAACCAAGAAGAGTGAAATATTTTCGGGAATATTAAAAAGGCAGAATTTTATATTTCCCTAAATGAGAAATGGAGAAACATGTTTATTAGAGGCAAGAAGCAGCCCCCCAAGTCTTTCTTAATGGCCCACAGCAGATGCCAGTACTTTACAGCTTATTGAAAGAACAACCCAACTATTTAGATGCCTCTATTCATAAGCAAAGCAATTACTGCAGGCACAAATTTATTTGAGACAGAATATTTCAAAACTCCTTGCAGCAAAGTTTGACAGCTAACAAAGGCAGAGTGATAGGATTAGAAGCAGCTCCTCACCCAAGATCCAACACAGGACAAAAGTCATTAGGCACAATAGGAATTCCCCAACACCCTTTCAGAAGACAAGTCCCTTCATTGCACCATCTCAGAGCAGTCCAATCTTCACCTGGGAGCTCAGATAAACAATAAGCCAGAGGTTGACCAGATTAGCTCAGACAAGCACCTAAGATTTGCAGTTCCTCTTTTGCCTATAGAGCCAGCTATGACCCCAACATAACCCCTACATGACCCCATAGGAATCTGACAACAGCCAATAGAAAATTAAAGGACATGTTCTTGCACAGGAACAGGAAGCTCAAATACAAAGCTCAAAGAAGATATAAAACCCCACCTACTCCCAACTCCATTTTGTCAGCTGCCCAGAATCACAAGTGGTTCTGCTTCATCTATAAACCATCTTTCCAATCAGCCTCCGTGTTTCCAGTGTCTTTCTCCCCACTTGGAACTGAACCAGATGGATATTTCTTCCAACAAGTTGTTTAGCAGAATGATGGCATGTGGGGGTTGGGGTGGGGTGGAAAATGTCCTTGTGTCTAGTTTCTCTGGTCTGCAATGCCCTATAACATCCTTTTGAGGGTAGAAGATGAAACAATTTATGCCCATGATGTGAGGAGTCTGTAGATATTTTCACAGTCCTCTTTTTGACTCGTGCAGTATACAGGTGCTCAATGGAAGGCAGCCTGATAGCAATTGTTTTTGCTCACTTCTAATTCTCCGTTGAAGTCTGTGTCTGTCTTGTTTGGTCACAGAGTCAAACCAGACAGTTATAGAGGTGCAGATGACAGACTCCATACTTCCTCTGTAGAACGGGATCAGCAGCTCCTTGGGCAGTCTAAGCTTTCTGAGTTGGCGCAAAAAGAACATTCTTTGTTGTGCTTTTTCGATGACTTTTTTGATGTTAGGTGTCCATTTTAAGTCTTGCGATATGATGGAACCTAGAAACTTGAAGGTCTCTATTGTTGATACTGTGTTGTCTACTATTGTAAGAGGTTGTAGTATAGGAGGCTTAATAATAAACCTAAAGCATTCTTTAGGTTTATTATCATCTTATTCTTTTGGGGGATAGATATACATAGAAAGCTTTGAAAACAAACAAATCAACAAATGTTTGTTTTTGGGGGTCTTTACAACTTTTTATAAAACATTCCTTAGGGTTATTAAGACATTACTTTAAAAAAAAGTAACATTTATCAACGAATCCATGGGCTTATTTTCCCTGACTGTTTAAAACTTCAGTTCAGTTATACTCAAGGTTTTGATGGATGCAATAAAGAATTTTCCACAAAAGACAGACTTATATTGTACCTTTATTTATATTTGGAAATGAAATAACCAAAATACAAATACAGATTTAAAAAAATAATGAAATTAAAAAAAAGAGCAAGGAAAACAAGTGAAGGAAAAATATTCAAAGTATACTTATTTATTTATCCAATTTGTAGAGGGGCCCCTGTCAAACAAGGGACAATGGGTAGCAAACAATCATAAAATCAATTATACAATTAAAAACAGAATACGACAAGCAAAATAAATAAATAAACATATACATACATTCTATCTATGGGACATTTATATGCCACCCATTTAAGGAAACATAAGATAAAGAAGATAGAAATTCAGTCAAAAGGGCTACTTTCAGACTTTCAAGGTTCTGTTAATGTAGCCTTAAAATAAGGTCGAATTAGCACTTTTAGGCACGTTTCCTGTCTGTTTACCTGGGAGGCTTCACACACACACACACACACACACACACACACACACACACACACACACACACAATTCCAACAACCTGCAGACATTGTGTCAGTCCTCCAAGGGAAACGAGACAGGAAATACGACTAAATGGGCTAATTCGACCTTATTGTAAGGCTACATTAACGGAATCTTGAGAGTCTGAAGGTAGCACCTTTGACTAAACTTCTGTCTTCTTTGCCTTGTGTTTGCCTTCAATGGTGGCATATAGCTGGAGACATATAAGTGTCCCATAGATACAAGAAAAAACACTGTCATTAAAAACTCAAGTCCATCCATCTGTGTTTCGTTGTTCTTCTATCCTGGGGAGATGTTGATCCAGCCGGGTGATGGTCCAAGCAAGCAGGTCCGTTACAGGAACTGCGTGGAATTCTGTCCAAGCTGCTACCCAGCCTAAGAAGAGACAAATCACAGGGCAGAAAGCAGAATCAACCATAGGCTTGAGAGAACAAAACCCCACATTTGCAGAAACGGAACCATCTCTTAGTCCAACCCTGCATACTACCAACCTGCTGCAGCATATTAAAAACGATGATGGTCGGCGTCTGCTCCACAGCATCTTCAGCCCCAGTGCCATCTTCCAAACCCCAAGGGAACCTTCAGCAGGAGGGAGTTCTGATCTTCCAGTGATCTACAAACACAGATACCAACAATTATTATACAGTCAGAAGTTTTAACAGATCAAATTCAACTATTATACAAAATTTATGCAATTGATAGAAGGAAGAACCAAAGGGCCATTTCCTGAGATGGTAGCTTTTCTTCATAGGTGGCTCAACGGCGAAGGGTGGAGGTCACAACTCCTCTATTTCTAGGTCTCCTGCATGGAAATAAAAGGTGAGGAAAATGGAAAGAAAGAGATATTGAAATTTGATCTGTTTGCTACACAGCTGGAAAACATATACAGGTTTTCGATCTATGGGAGTTGTCCTCAATTTATGATAACAAGGGAGATCAAACTCTGCATGACCAGTCATTACAGTTTTAAATCAAGTTGCCACATGACCGGATTCTATTTCACAATCGTTTTTACAACAATTGTTAAGTGAATCACGTGGTGGTAAATCCAAATGCAGATTATCCAGTGGCTGGTTTCTTCCTTTTTTTTTTTTTTTTTTCTTAAAACAATGAAAATATCTCAAACTGCAATCACGTAACCATTGGATGCTGCAAAGGATTGTAAATTTGAACTTCTTGCCAACTACTCGAAATGTGATGAAATTAGTGTACGGTTGATGTGACTGTCGTAACTAAGAGGACAGGTCATAAGTAACCCTCCCCCCTCCCCTTAGTGTTCTCAAGAAAGTTACCTTCATTGATGTTTTCGTAGGTGGTTCCAGCCTGCCAGATTTCCCTGGGAACATCAGGGAAAGCCTGCTGGACTTGATCGAGCTGTAAGAAAAAGAAATGCCTCACCGTGTTGCCAAGGTTTTTGGAGAGTAATTCTCCTTCCCTTGACCCATCACTCACATATTACTAGCAAGATATCCTTCCCAGAATTTCCTCAGGTGGAATGAGAGGAAAAAGACCCCCCTGCACTCTCTCTGGCACCAAGAGGGAGATTATTTGAGGGTGTGGTCCCAAGAGCTGTGGGGGACTCAAAGGCTACAATTTATGTTAATTTAATTTTGCTACGTACATCTATCCTGGGATGATGGTTTCCACAGGACAGGAGCTGGTTTATTGCCGGCAAAAAGAGTTTCCCACGTGGGTCCAAGTTCTGTGGAATTGACAAAGAAAAGAGATGTTTTCTCATTTCTGAGAATCAAGAATCTTGCTGCCGAAACACACTTGTGCAATCTGTGGTAGTGTTCCTTCGAACTACCATGGAACTTCTGGACCCTTACCTTCAGAATGAAAACAAACTGTTCTGTCGTGGGAGATTGTCGGAGTAGGTTCCTCATTGTTAGGCCAAAGGCCTCCTCCAGCAACTTCTTCTCCACCTGAAAGGAAACATAAGAGATGGTGCTCTTTCTTTTGAAGAACATTTTCCCATCCATGCAACACTAGGAAGGAAATCCCAGAAATGTTGGTTAAAGTGGTACCTCAGAAAGATCTTCCTCCTCTGCATCCAGGGTAGCCATCCAATAAAAACTGGAAATGTCCATCAGCATGGATTCTATTGGTTCATCTCTTTCTGGTGTTATCTTGCTGTGGGATTAAAAGAAGGAAGAGACATTAGTGCCCATATTAATGAGCAAGCCTCCGTTCCATTTTTCCCACAAGAATAGGATAAGCTGGCTCAACTGAATGCCCTCCCCCTTCTTAATGACTGAGTACCCCAAAAAGACTTTTCTCACCCACTATAAAAGAAACAATAGACTGACCTGAGATCATACATTTCCAGCAATGCAGCTAATCCATTGACAAAGCTGTGCTCCTGCAACAGAGCCTGCCAGGAAACAAAAGAGGAGACAATCAGAAAAGTCAAGCTCAACTAAGTTGCTCCAGAACATCTTCTTTGTCCCAGCCTGTTTTAACCTGATATGTTGCTGCAACAGCTCACCTTTCAGTCCAAAGGGTCCTTTTGAGCTTTTGGTAAACTTTCTGAGAATTCACAGTAGCTTTCCTCCTCTCCCTTTCCCTCTCATATCTCCCCATCATCCTTAACTCACCCCCTCCCCATCACATTTTTATTTCTGGGCACTGGGACCCTCATTTGCACATTTTTCTTAAGGTGAAACAGTGCAGTGATCACACTGAGGACCTGGATTAGGCGATGCTCCTGTGCAACTGAAAGGAGTTCGGCTGTCAGTCAGGGCAACGGACTTTCCCAGAATCCCCAGTGCGCTTCCTTTTACAAGGAAAGCTTGAACCCTTCTGAGACTCTGTCCATCCTAAGGAATCTTTTGCCCCACACTGAGATTGGGCCAAAAAAGAGTGGGTTTGAAACCCGGAGGCAAAGCCCAGCGAAAGAAACCTCTACTTCCAAGGGGTACCTACTATTTGCGTCTCTCTCCTCCTCTCAGAGACCACTTGGCGCAAATATTGGCTTATTTCCTGGTCTCTTCTTATACAGGCCAGCTCTGATTGCGCTGCTTGGAAAAGGTCCTTCCTCTCGAAGAGGACCTTCTCTTTCCCTCGGCTGTCCTTTGGAGGGAAACCTGGGAAAGGAGACACAGAGGGTGGAATCAGAGCAAAATTTTAGATCTCCTCCAGATGAAGGAAAGACACTAAAATCAGCCCTTTGCAGCATCCTTCCCTCGGAGACCCAATTCAAAGGCTTTTGTGGTTGCTGGCTATGTCTCTTTTAGGGGAAAGACCTATTGCATTCTTTATATCCTCCCTCCCCAGTTCCCAGGATAGAGATAGGCTCCACTCAGCAAATGTGAAGTTTCCCAGAAGAGTCTCATGGAAGCAGAACAATTTATGGAAAGTTAATGTGGATTCAGAAGCTGCATGAGGAGCAGGAGCAATTTGGTTCTGCCCAGCCCCTAAGTGCAACCTCAAGTATAGGAAGAGGCAGAATTGGCTTCTCTAGATGCCTACAGAGAGGAGTCTACTCCGAAAGGAGCTCCTTCCCTTTCCCTCTCCATCCCCTTCAACCCAAAGTGTGTACTCACCGTGCTGCTCCACTTTATGGAGCTCAATGTCTATCGTGATTTTCGTTTTTCTTCGGCCAGACAGATTTGTTGCGTCTTCCAAGGTGGAGGTTGAAGGACTGGCTGGCCTGGCATTCCTTCTCATTCTCCCCCAACAGCATTGGAAGATTTCTCTGCAACATTTTCGAAATCTCAGGAACCTAAGAAAAGGAATGGAAGGGAGTAAAACCCCTTTTCCAGACTCCACTTGCTCTACCTGCTCTGTGTCTGGGACAGAGGGAGCATCTGGACAAAGAGAGAAGCTCCTTCTGTGTAAATCTCTGGGAAGGAGCCCAGTCCTGAGGGCCTCCCTTCCCTTCTCTACCTTCCCCCTCTCCATTTCCCCATCCCAGGGCAAAGGCTCATGGACAAACCTTCCACCTCCCAAACAAGAAAAGACATGGAGAAGCTCTTTAGAGCAGCCCTTCTGAAGACCTACTTACGTCTTCGAAAACATCTTGGCTCTGCTCAGTGACAACTGGCAGTTGGTGACCTTTGACCCTGTATGGATGTCTGGATGACCTCCTACAGCCAATAGAATTCCCAGAGGGCTGAAGGCCTCCTTTGGGATCTACCAAAGGATCTGCTCCACCTTTTCTGCATACACTGTTGGCAGCCAAAGATCTCTAGGAACCTACTAACAAATCTCTCAAGCTGCCTCTTTCTCACCTTTTGCTACAGAAGCCAAAGCTCTTTGTATGTAGCCTGCCTTTTTCTACAGGAGCTCCATTAAGCTCTCTGACTAAGCAAGGCTCACCAATGCAGCTTCTGGTCAACTTCCAGTCAAAATCAGTTGTGTTGCAAGCTTTGTGTGTGTGTGTGTGTGTGTGTGTGTGTGTGTGTGTGTGTGTGTGTGTGTGTGTGTTTGTGTGTATGTTTGTGTGTGTGAACTCTGCTGGGTCTAGAGTCAGCTCCCTCTGTTCTATCTGCTTCGGTGCAGATACCTTTTTCTGCATGCCAATCTATTTTTTTTAAAGTTTTGTTGATTTGCTATTGTTTACATTTTGTTAGTGGTTAATAAACATTGTGTTGTCTGGATGATTTTATTTCCTTAGCCGTACAAATTACATTCTTATTCTCCACCCCATTTTTCCAACCACTGGTAGAATGAGTTCCCTCTTTGATAATATTCTGTATCTTCTTTTTGTTTAATCTTCAATGTAAGTCTGTCCATTTCTGCACAATCCAGTATCTTCCCAATTATTTTTTTGTCTCGTGGTATTTCTTCATTTTTCCAGTATTGTGCAAGTATAATCCTTGCTGCTATTAATAATGCAATATTAAATACAATTTTTATTTATCAATTTTTTCTGGTGTTATACCTAATAGAAAAAGTTCAGGTTTAAAATCTACATGTTTTCCTATCATCTTTTCTACCCACTTATATATTTTTGCCCTCTTTTTTTTTTTTCCTTTAACACAGGTCCACCACATGTGGTAATATGTGCCTGTCTTTTGGTTACATTTCCAATATTTGTTAGACATATTTTTAAACATTATAACTAACTTAGCAGGTGGTAGATACCATCTATAAAACATTTTATATAAGTTTTCCTTAGAAGAAGTTGCCATTGTTAATTGATTGTTTCTTTCTGATAAGTTTTGCCATTTCTCTTATTCTATATTATGTCTAAAGTTTTTTGCCCAGTGCATCATTTTGTCTTTTACTTGTTCATCCTCCATTTTCCGATTTAGTAAAAAAATTAGATATTTTCTTAATTAGTTTTTCATCAGAATTCAACAATATCTGATTGAAGGCTGTCTGTCCTTTATAAAGGCTGTACATTTTCATGTCTTTATCATATCTAGATTGTTTTTGCAATTGAAGCCACCATGATAATTTAATACCCTCAACTTCCAATTCTTGCTTAGATTTTAATTTCCCTTCAGTGTCAAAAATGTCTTTATATGTGACTATTTTTTCAAACTTCACCAGATTTGGATATGTAAATGCTTCCATTTTGCCCCGTTTTACAATCTTTTCTTTTTCTCTCCTCCCCCCCCCAATCATATTGGGAATCACAGAGAATAATAGTTGTTAATTCTAATCTAGGCATTTGGTAATATTATTACATCTACCACATTGAAAAAGAAGTTATTTGTCTTAAAACTTTTGTTTTTACCTTTCCTACAAAATCAAGTTCCCAACATGGAAACACCAACTATCTTATTCTGTGTATTTTGTGTTATTCTGTGTATTCTTTTTTGGCTCTTATTCCCAATCATTTCTTTCGTCTCTTCCCCCCACCCTCGCCACTTACTCTCTCACCATTTTTAGACTATTTGTGAACCACATTCACAGAGGATGGATGAGGACCTGTATCTGGTCTAATTTTGGGGACTCTACCTTCAGTCTTAGCACCTTCCTTCAACACTTTCCTTGCCTTTAACTTCCTGCTCTAAATGGTCTTTCTCTGTCTTTTATCTGAATAGAATAGAATAGGATAGAATAGAATAGAATAGAATAGAATAGAATAGAATAGAATAGAATAGAATAGAATAGAATAGAATAGAATAGAATTCTTTATTGGCTAAGTGTGATTGGATACACAAGGAATTTGTCTTCGGTACATAAGTTCTTAGTGTACATAAAAGCTATAAGTGATAAATCATCATCATAGACATCAGAAAAATGCATTTCTCATAAATTGTAAGATACAACACTTAGTGATAGTCATAGGATACAAAATAAGCAATCAACATAAATCATACTAGGAAACTAAATAAACCAATATAAATCGGAAAGATACAAACTACAAAGTCATAGTCGTAAGTAGAAAAGAAGATCGGTAATAAGAAAGATGAGAATAATAATAATAATAATAATAATAATAATAATAATAATAATAATAATAATAATAATATTTAGAAATTCTAAATTTGCCGGACTTGAACATTTTGACTCTACAAAAAACCACCTTACTCGGAACAGCTTACATCCTCCGACGATACCTTAACAGTTCGTAGGTCCTTGGTTAGGACTCGAGCTGCTGAGCTATTAACCAGCCTCAAAGGCTGTGAATCTCACTAAAGATTAACCAATAAATAATAATAATAATAATAATAATAATAATAACAACAACAACAACAACAACAACAATAAAAATACAGCTTTAATAAATAGTTTACAGTGTTGTGGGAATTAGCACCTACCCCCCCAACCAAGAAGAATGAAATATTTTCGGGAATATTAAAAAGGCAGAATTTTATATTTCCCTAAATGAGAAATGGAGAAACATGTTTATTAGAGGCAAGAAGCAGCCCCCCAAGTCTTTCTTAATGGCCCACAGCAGATGCCAGTACTTTACAGCTTATTGAAAGAACAACCCAACTATTTAGATGCCTCTATTCATAAGCAAAGCAATTACTGCAGGCACAAATTTATTTGAGACAGAATATTTCAAAACTCCTTGCAGCAAAGTTTGACAGCTAACAAAGGCAGAGTGATAGGATTAGAAGCAGCTCCTCACCCAAGATCCAACACAGGACAAAAGTCATTAGGCACAATAGGAATTCCCCAACACCCTTTCAGAAGACAAGTCCCTTCATTGCACCATCTCAGAGCAGTCCAATCTTCACTGGGAGCTCAGATAAACAATAAGCCAGAGGTTGACCAGATTAGCTCAGACAAGCACCTAAGATTTGCAGTTCCTCTTTTGCCTATAGAGCCAGCTATGACCCCAACATAACCCCTACATGACCCCATAGGAATCTGACAACAGCCAATAGAAAATTAAAGGACATGTTCTTGCACAGGAACAGGAAGCTCAAATACAAAGCTCAAAGAAGATATAAAACCCCACCTACTCCCAACTCCATTTTGTCAGCTGCCCAGAATCACAAGTGGTTCTGCTTCATCTATAAACCATCTTTCCAATCAGCCTCCGTGTTTCCAGTGTCTTTCTCCCCACTTGGAACTGAACCAGATGGATATTTCTTCCAACAAGTTGTTTAGCAGAGTGATGGCATGTGGGGGTTGGGGTGGGGTGGAAAATGTCCTTGTGTCTAGTTTCTCTGGTCTGCAATGCCCTATAACATCCTTTTGAGGGTAGAAGATGAAACAATTTATGCCCATGATGTGAGGAGTCTGTAGATATTTTCACAGTCCTCTTTTTGACTCGTGCAGTATACAGGTGCTCAATGGAAGGCAGCCTGATAGCAATTGTTTTTGCTCACTTCTAATTCTCCGTTGAAGTCTGTGTCTGTCTTGTTTGGTCACAGAGTCAAACCAGACAGTTATAGAGGTGCAGATGACAGACTCCATACTTCCTCTGTAGAACGGGATCAGCAGCTCCTTGGGCAGTCTAAGCTTTCTGAGTTGGCGCAAAAAGAACATTCTTTGTTGTGCTTTTTCGATGACTTTTTTGATGTTAGGTGTCCATTTTAAGTCTTGCGATATGATGGAACCTAGAAACTTGAAGGTCTCTATTGTTGATACTGTGTTGTCTACTATTGTAAGAGGTTGTAGTATAGGAGGCTTAATAATAAACCTAAAGCATTCTTTAGGTTTATTATCATCTTATTCTTTTGGGGATAGATATACATAGAAAGCTTTGAAAACAAACAAATCAACAAATGTTTGTTTTGGGGGTCTTTACAACTTTTTATAAAACATTCCTTAGGGTTATTAAGACATTACTTTAAAAAAAAGTAACATTTATCAACGAATCCATGGGCTTATTTTCCCTGACTGTTTAAAACTTCAGTTCAGTTATACTCAAGGTTTTGATGGATGCAATAAAGAATTTTCCACAAAAGACAGACTTATATTGTACCTTTATTTATATTTGGAAATGAAATAACCAAAATACAAATACAGATTTAAAAAAATAATGAAATTAAAAAAAAGAGCAAGGAAAACAAGTGAAGGAAAAATATTCAAAGTATACTTATTTATTTATCCAATTTGTAGAGGGGCCCATGTCAAACAAGGGACAATGGGTAGCAAACAACCATCAAATCAATGATACAATTAACAACAGAATATGACAACCAAAATAAATACATAAACATATACATACATTCTATCTATGGGACATTTATATGCCACCCATTTAAGGAAACATAAGATAAAGAAGATAGAAATTCAGTCAAAAGGGCTACTTTCAGACTTTCAAGGTTCTGTTAATGTAGCCTTAAAATAAGGTCGAATTAGCACTTTTAGTCACGTTTCCTGCCTGTTTACCTGGGAGGCTTCACACGCACACACACACACACACACACACACACACACACACGGTTCCAACAACCTGCAGACATTGTGTCAGTCCTCCAAGGGAAACAAGACAGGAAATACGACTAAATGGGCTAATTCGACCTTATTGTAAGGCTACATTAACGGAATCTTGAGAGTCTGAAGGTAACACCTTTGACTAAACTTCTGTCTTCTTTGCCTTGTGTTTGCCTTCAATGGTGGCATATAGCTGGAGACATATAAGTGTCCCATAGATACAAGAAAAAAAGCCCTGTCATTAAAAACTCAAGTCCATCCATCTGTGTTTCGTTGTTCTTCTATCCTGGGGAGATGTTGATCCA